AAACTTAAATCCGAACCCAATCTGGTTACTAATTAACTAAAATCATATAATTCCTCCTAAAATGTTAAAAATGACTTTAACAACGTGGTTGGCCTGTTCCTTTAGGGCGAGCAGAGGCATTCCGCCTCCTCTTTTCCGCATAGACTGGTTTGGCTCGTGTGTTACGGAGCTTAGCTTTCATTAAAACCTCCTTTTTCAGACAGAAAACACCAAACCGCGTCCAGCACCGGCAGCTATGGCTCTGCTGTGTGAAACGCTCCACATAACCTCTCTAAACACACGGTCAAACGCCTACAGACGCCATGAAGGTGAAGGTTACCTTTTTTAAATGCGGCTCGAGCTCAGCGGTGACTTGACGAGCGGACGGTTTGGGGGCGCGTGCTTCCCTCTGTGCCTGGCGCGTGCGCTCCGGTTCGGAGAAATGTATCCGTGCAGTCCTTTTATGAGGATATGGCGGACAGTGCAGGTCACATTGAGATGACTGCTTCTGTCAGACTGAAGTTTAGACTTCCTGCACAGGTCTGAGGGGATCCTGGGAGGCTTAAAACTCCCCCAGGGGTGGTGTGACGTTCCTGTTTGATGTTTATTGGGGATAAATTAAGCTTGTTACATCCGTACTGTAGTACTGTTCACACATTGCCAATTATTAACAGGAATATATACTCTTATGTTGGTGAGTTTCTGTTTCAGGTAAACACATCTTACTCTATATGAGGTGTTTTTTTTAACTTGAGGTGTAAAAGAAGACTTGAGAGAATCAGTGAACCTCTGACGCTCAACTTGTCATGTCTGCCTTGAACATTTTTTTTTTTTACTACAGTGACGAAGCGAGTCGTTTCTGCTCGTCTGTGCGCGTGTCCGTTCGATGCGCGTGAAGGTGACACACCCCTTTCCTTACAGATGCCGCGCATGCGCTATTTCTTCAGATAGATTTCTATATATAGTTGTCCAAATCATGTAAAAAAAGAATAAAATAAATTATTAAAGATAATATGTTTACTACGGAAGAGCATTAGCGCCACTGGAAAAAAAAAGTTAACTGATTTTTAAATTTTATTTCAGTTTAATATGGGAAAAAAGTCAGAATTCTGAGAAAAAAGTCAGAAATCTGTCATGTCTTAATTCTGAAATTAAAGTCAGAATTCTGACTTTTTTTTCTCAGAATTCCAACTTTAATTCAGAATTCTGACTTTAATTCAGAATTTTGATCTTAATGTAGATGGGCACCCTGAAGGAAGAGATGTGGGAGCACTCAGCTTCACTGACAAAGAAGTGAGTTGTTTGGAAGGGGCCAGTAACACGGTGGTGGAAAATGACGAAATTAGGCAACTTTTTAGATGCCTGAGGCGTCCCCGGTGATGCTATTTCATTAATGGAAGAGCAGAAGGTGATTAAAACAAGAGGGCTAGTCTCTAAAACAGACATAGCTATGGCTTGATGCTAACATGTTTGTTAGCAATCAGAATTCTGAGATTAAAGTCAGAATTCAGATTTTTTCCCCATATTAAACTGAAATAATATTTAAAAATCAGTTAACTTTTTTTTATTTTTTCAGTGGCCTTAATCCTCTTCCGTAGTTTACAATACAGAGAGAAAAAAATAAAAAATACTGATGTTGAGATGGAGCCTCATGAACCGTTTGGCCAAATTGCTTCAACGATCCCGGCAGTTCATGAGGCTTCATGTGAACATATCACCACCTACTGGTGGAGTGCAGAACTACAGTTAGTAGCTTAAATTATTTTTCTCCTCCAACACGTTTTACATACAACAAAACTTATACAATGTTTTATTACACACACCAATCATTAACAATTTCAAAGAAACTTAAATGGAGAAGAAAAAAAAACAAGAAAAAAAAAATGCAAACAATAAAAATTAAAATACCTAGATATTTGGGTATATTTGATGCAATCTTGCCTCCTGATTTGACTTCCAATCCTTAGGTTAGTGGTTCAATATCTCACCTCAGACTTTTGAAAGTTGGGAAAAAACTTAACAAGTATTTTGGCTAATTTTACAAATTTAGATTGGGTAAAAACGCTGCTAAGTTAGATTGATTGGTTGAACACATAACTTCCAACCAGATTAAAACCAAAAAACTGTGGAAAAGTAATATTTTTGAATAAAAATGACTAACACCTTTCATTTTGCTCATCATTACCCAATTTGCACAATGCTCTTTCACTGTCTGCTTGAGCTTTTTTGTCTAAAATGTCCAAAGTCTGAGGTGAGGTATTGAACCACCAACCTAAGGATTGGAAGTCAAATCAGGAGGCAAGATGGCATCAAATATACCCAGATATCTAGGTTTTCTGTATCTATGCAGCAAAAAAGATAGGAAAGATGAAGTTAAAGTCTGTTCTTATCCTTTTTTCCACCTGGTAGGAATCAGTATTACATATGATTGCTTGATATTTAGCTTCTGGCATTTTTAAGGACCCCTTTGCATCCCTTAAAAATAATAGTACTGATGGGTCAGTCTAGAGTCATCTAAAACGTTGTGTCTGAATTATTGAGCAACTAATTATAATACAAAAACAAACAGGGCATTCCTTCAGCCTCTTTTTGTCTTATCTAGTGCTCCCTGTGGAAATTCTCTCTCTGCAATTACTGCACTTTGGTGGGATAATTTGTATGGGAATTTCCCGAAAAAAGCACTCCGCCTTTCCCATAACGTTCATAACCAGACAGCTGTGCCTAGAAGAAAATACAAATAATGCAGCTGTTTTCTGCTCTAGCATAAACAAAAGGGTAGGAAAAAAAATCCACTTAAACCAGTGAAAGAAAAATCTGGTCAATGAAGATTCTCAGTCATCCAGGTCATAGTAATCCCAAAAAAGTTTAAAAACAATCAACTTAATTTTGTTTCCAGGTTTGAAGACATTTTTCTTTTCATCCAGGAAGCTTTTTCCCATTCAAACTCAACTCTATTTTTGACATGTTGAATGAAAAAAAGCTTCCTGGATGTGAAGCGTAACGTCTCCAAACTTAGAAACAAAGTCCAGTGGATTGTTGTTTTTTTTTTACTTTTTTGGAAAAATCTGGTCCTCTTTCTAAACAGTAATAATTGACATTTAAACCCTTTTAGTCAAAGTGTTTAACATGCAAAGATTAAAACACAAACAGAATGTATAATTACAAAGAAAATAGACTAAAGAAGAAAACAATCAGCAAAAACAATAAAGCTATTTCTGTTAGTAATTCAGAACTCTAACACAGTTTTTCCTTCCACTCAACTTTTCAATAATATGCCTGGAAGCAAAAGTCTGGAAAAAGCCAGCTTCTATGAGAATGACCTTTCCTGGCTTAACCTCTATAGAGGGAGTCAAAGTCTGTCCCATCAGTAGAGTTTCCTTTGATTGAATGGGCCTCAACAGAAATAAATCCCATTTCCACTTTTTACTTGCATTACTGAATATCAACCTTTTCAAGAGGAACAAATACATAAAAACAACAGAAAATTGGAAAATTCTGTGGTCCTGCATCATCACAAAACCAGACATTTTGGAGCAGAGCCTGTAGCTGCTCCAGTAGGAGGGACCAGTATGGGATTCTCTTGAAATGGTGGATCTGAGAAGGACCAAAACACCTGTGACCCCTGTTTCCATCCAGGGGGTTCCTGTTGACACTGTGGAGGAGTATAAGTACCTGGGAGTGTACTTTAACAATAAGTTGGACTGGACTAGAAACACTGAGCCGGTCTACAAAAAGGGCCAAAGCCGACTATTCTTCCTGAGGAGGCTGAAGTCCTTTAACATCTGTGGGGCGATGCTGAGGATGTTTTATGAGTCTGTTGTTGCTAGCACGCTCTTCTCCGCTGTCACATGCAGGGGCAGGGGGCTGAGGGTCACTGACAACAGACTGAACAAACTGATCAAGAGGGCCGGTGATGTTGTGGGGGAGCAGCTGGACACCCATACCAACGTGGCAGAGAGAAGGATGCTGTCCAGGCTTCAGTCCATCTTAGACAATGACTCACATCCTCTCCACAACACACTGGTCCAGCAGACGAGCTCCTTCAGCAAGACTCCTCCTACCCAGATGCACCACAGAGCGCCACAGGAAATCATTTCTACCTGTGGTCATCAATCTCTATAACGCCTCCCTCAAGTGATTGACATTTATGCATGCCACGTATCACTTTACTTGGATTTATCACTTTACTTGGACTTTTCACTTTATTTGGATTTAGTTTTTACATATGCATATATATATGTACAGATATATATACAGAAGAGCTATACGTGTATATATTTAATCTATTTTTATTCTTATTTTTATCTTTATTATATTGTATAGTTGGATGTGTGTATATATCATGTAAAACTGTAACTGGAGTGTGTAACAAAAGTAATTTCCCTCTGGGATTATTAAAGTATTTCTGATTCTGATTAACTCCTGTAAAAAGTGTAATTCGTGTTTTATTTTTTATATATATAAAAATATACAATTTCTATAGTGTCTTAGAGTTGCTTCCCCATACAGATCCAATAACTAATGCAATACACAATAAGTATAAACTGCGAAAGTTTGGTTGTAAAATGTTCTGAATGTGACCTCATTTCCAGGAAAAAAAAACATATGGTAAAAATTTTAACTAAATTAAGTTTAATGTGGTTTTACTTCAGCACTCTGGTTGAAATAAAAACATATTCAAAGGAAGAAGAAAATTAGCATTATTCCAACCTGTTTTTTTGTTTTGTTTCTTTAGGACGGAAGAAAATTGCTTCCAAAAAGAGAGAAAAATGCTTTTCTATAGTCAGAAAGAATCTTGCTAGATTTTGTTTCTTTTTTGCAAGAAAAATAAATCCTGTTGTATGTGGAAAAAATTAAATAAAAATCTTACATTTTAATCTCAAATTATGTTTCAATAGCAGATAACTACTTAATAACACCCAATTAGCATCAGATCTTTAATAACTATTAGAAATAACAAAACCAAAAACACAATAATTTCATATCTTAAACTAAATTCTTTATTCCAAACAAAAAAACAAACAAAAAAAAAAAAAAGTTATTTCTCAAATCCAAACATTTCATCAAATACAAAAAGTCGCCTCAATTAGGTCGGCTCAGAAAGCTCAATATATTAAAGAAAAATATATACATTTACAGCCACACCTTTTCTGTCTACGTACGCATTCATTTTATTCCCTGGGAGGAGAAACCTGACTGAAACCTTACAGCAGAAAAAGTAAATTACAGTTTAATGTGTATTTAAATATGTAATAGAAAAATACTGGAGCTCAGCTTCCCAGATTTTAAAGGCTTGGCTTCGTCTAAGATCGGATGTGAGCCGAGATCTTAATTAAGCATCACTTTAATACCAGAACTAGGTCAAAAAAACAAAAACAAAAAATCTAAAAAGTTCCAGCATCTTGGATTCAGCAAATAACCAACATTAATGACAAGTTTTTGACACTTTCACATAAATATGGTTTCTTAGTGGTTTTTTTGGATTTTAAGTATCATTTTGCAGCAGCATCAAAAACACTTCCGCTCCCCAACTGTGGTCAGTTCCTTTACCGTTTATCCGTAACAGATGAATTAGTGTTTTAGCCTTTAATGACTCATTTAAGGCTGCTGTGATCAGAGAAAAAACAACTAATGTGATAAAAATAAGTGTTACTTTAACAGATCTAAATGAAGCTCCAGGCTTTCAGCCTCTTTGAGGATGCCTGGTTTCACTAACTAACCACAGAGGAGGCAGACGTGTTTTTTTTTTAGCAGGTTTAGGGCAATCTGTGCAGAGCAGCAGCTTTTTAAAGTTTTTGATTGGATCATGAATGGACATCTAAGCCTGAATGTTCTGTCCACTTCAGGAAGAACATTTAAGTTAAAGTAAAATTAACAGTGTCTTCAGAAAATGATTTTCTTTGGCTTTCAGTAGCTAAAAACTAGAGTAAATGCTTTTATTTTAGAGACATAAAAACAAAGCCACACACAGCAGGGTTCCTTTTCACCAGTCGCTGCTGAAGCGGAGTCGGTTAAAGACTTCTTTGATGTCGTCGTCGCTATGCGGCTCTCCGCTGGGTTTCGTACGGAGCACTCTGCATGAGTGAACGTCCTCCTTCAGCTTCTGCTTGAAAAGGACCACGGTTCCTTGGGTTCCTTCCTTCTCTGGGCCCATCAGGAGGAAATAGGCGGCGTGACGTCCACGCTCCATCAGAGTGGCTAAAAGAGATAAAAACAGAGAAATAATCTGTAAAAGAGCTAAAATCAGTCCGTTACCCAGCTGTTTGTTAAAATGCCCTCAACCTGCTGAATCTTTTCCCTCTCTGTCTCATTAATAATCCTGTAATATGTTAACACATCTGGAGTACTGGAAGGAAAATGATTCTCAGTTTTCTAAATATTTCGCAATTAAAAACCTAAAACATCTCAAGCTCAGCTAAATTGGATGAAGAGGATCTGTAGACAGCCATCTTTAAATCCTACCACAGATTTTTAGCAGGTTTTCACCCTTTACTTTGACTAGGCCGTTCTGTCTCATAAATATTCTGTCATCTAAACCATTCATAGCATCTCTATCTGTGTGTCCTACTGGAAAGTGAACCTCCAACCCAGTCTAAGGTCTTCTGCAGATTCTAACAAGTGTTCTTGAGAAAATAAAACTGTAAGCTTAAGAAAACTATGCCCACAGCACAATGCCGCCACCACCATGTCTCACACTTGGGGAAATGCATTCAGGTAGGTAGTTTTCCTCATTAGTTTGAACTGAACTGCTACAGTTAGACTCAGAACTAAACACATTCCTAAAACTATAGAGTACCGAAACTGACAGATTTAAAAATAGAAGGTAGAAATAGATAAATATCCCAAGTATGAACAAATGCCCTTAAAATGTGCAGATTAATTTATAATATTAGAATATCTGATATGTCAAAGCATCAATATGAAAATTCTAGCCACTAGGGGCGCTACACCTGGAAGTTATAGGTGTAGCACCCCTTATAGCGACTATCGCAAAATTACCTAGCCTCCCTCTGGGTTTCAGAATCTGACAGAGGATGACTTTAGAACAGCTGACTGAAAAGTCAGGGAGCTACTTATAAAGACAAGGAAACTTTCACCCCTCTAGATTAAATCCTACATCAGAGAACCTAAAATATGTCTGATCATGTAAGGGTCACAATGTTTTAACATTCCAATATAATACTTAAAATCTGTCACCAACATTTGCTTCGTTAGCTCCACTGTTTAAGTTAGCTTAGACTGTAATTAAAGCTGCGCTCTGAGTCACATGACTCATTCAGT